CCCCCCCCCCGGGGAAAATCTCTCTCTCTCTCTCTCTCAAACACACACACACACACACACACACACACACACACTCCGGTCAAATCAAATTAAATAAATAAAGTTAAATAAAATAATTCTTTAAAAACACGCACAGTTCCTACTCTCAATGATCTTGTGGTCTTGAAGGATTAATAAATCTATACACAACCACAATATAAGATTTTAGGTGTACCAAAATAAAGACCAATGAGTAGATTTTTCAAACTCTAGAGTTTGGAGGCATCTTTATAAATAAAATGTTATGAAACAGATTTTTTTCTATTCATTTGTTTCCCAGAATTGCCAGAGACTGTTTTGAACACATGTAAATGAGTGTTGACGGAGGAAGTTCTGATACAATCTTCATATGGAGAATAACTAAAATTTCCATATATTTTTACTGTTATCAGTTACATCTATTGTACGGCGGAGAAATTACTCATGTGCTTATAGGTAGATTCTGTAAGCCCACTCAAATATTAAAAGTGGAAAATTATACCAAGTTCATGGCAGCTCCGTGCTTATTTTGGAGATGTGACGAGGCCACCGACTGTTCGTAATTTTTGACAATTTTCTGTCTGTGAAAGACTTGGGATTGGCCTGCATATTTGAGTTATCTAGCCCTTCTGTGCTGAGCAACATTGCTATGCTTAAATGACTAGTTATGCTGGGCCCGGAACTCTCAACTATCCTCATTTTTTTATAGAAGGCACTAACAGTTAACCCTCAGTTTTGTACCAGATATTAAAATAACTCTAAAAAATATCTTTTAAGAAAACAGTTTTTGCCAGTAATATTATTTCAAAGCAGAACCATAAAATTTGTTTTATTATGGATTATGTAAATCAGGTATGAATTAAATTGGATGTGACCTGGGAATGCCGCTCAACAGTAAATAGACTCAAGAAGGTATAACTGACATCTTAAATACTGATTATGATAATAATACATTTGAATATCTTCCTTTGAGTTTTCAAGGGGAGAAAAGCAAAGCTCAGAGGGGTCATCCAAACTACCAACAAATGTTGAAACAAACTCTTGCCTCTTTCACTAATCATTACTCATTCATTCAAGAATTATTTACTATGTATTCATCCAATAAATGCTTATCACTTAGTCACTATGTGACACTCTTATTAGATTAGGTAGAACACAGAGTCGAACAAGAAAGACCAGGCTGAACCTTTATGGGGCTTATAGTTGTGTAACTCTCAGCCTTCCTATTTCTTAGAGAGTTGAAGCAGTGAACAAAAGTACCTACCTGGTCCAGAACTGAATGGATGCTGCAATCCTACCTGTGCCCTGCTTGTCAAGGATGCATATGAGCACAGAATTGTGTTAGGCCTGGGGGGGGAAATAAAGCCCTTGCTAGTTCTTTGAAAGCTAGCCTGGTGGGGACCAGCAGTTAGCGTAATGGCTATGTCGCTGGACTCCCATGTAGTCTACCGCGGTTCACGTCCCGGACCCAGTGGCTTAAAACTCACGCCGGGCGCATGTGCATGTGTGCCCAAGATCCCAAGAGGAGAATGGAGAAGTGATTGCGGCATGGCCATCCCCCACGGAGGATGATTTCTCACTTTCTGTCTCTCTGTCTCTCTCAGTCTGTCTGGGGAGCGCATGCGCCCTATAGCAAAAACTTGTCAAAAAAAAAAGCTAGCCTGGTGTAGTATAATATCCATGTCATTACTTGTCATGACAGCTTGACCACTGCTTAACATCATCAGAATTATGTAATCA